TCTACAAGCTAGGTAACAGGAAAAGGTCCTTGAAGCCTTGGCTGAAGAAAGAATAGTCTTTATTCAGCACACCCACATCTAAGAGCTAGGCAGTCCAAAGATAATTGAGCAGCTGCCGGCAAAATCCAAAGGAAAACTGAGCAGCTGCCAGCAAAGTAAATATGCTCTATTTCTAGACATGAGCTCTGTCCAGCCACAGCTTCACACACTGAAGAACACACAAGAATAGCAACAAGCTAAAAGTATGTGGGTGCCCATGTGCACTAACTCAACCCCCACACAATTTGTTTACAAAGGATGTGCTGCACCACCCCCAACTGGACCAGAGGCAAGGGGGCCTGACTAATCTACTCCATTTTCCTCCCATCTATTAACTCTTTAAAACATTAATCCGATGGATTAATCCATTCATGTAAGCACAGTGCTCATGACCCAATCACCTCTTAAAGACCCCACCTCTTAATACTGTTACATTGGGGATAAATTTTAACATGAGTTTTAGGGGGAATAAACATTCAAACCATAGCACACATTTACTGTTCAGTAGAATACTTCTCTTCATTTTGTCCTGCCATCTTTCTCCTCTGGACAGAAACTGAACTACTTAAGTGCAGGGTTGTCTTGTACTTTGCACCATCTCCCTCTAGCCCAAGTCCTCTGCATCACATATATTGTTTTCTTCCTCACACTTCTCACTACCTAATATTTTATGTATTGTTTCCCTATATTTTATCCATTACCCCTTAATAGAATGAGGTCCTTAAAAACAAGGACATTGTGACTTATTTGAAGTCTATCTTCAGTGCCTAGTTCTCAAAATATTATTGATGAACAAATGAACTACCTAGAAGATTCACTTTTTGTGTGTGAAAGTAGTTAGTTTTATAATACATTTACTTAGTTTCAGTTGTCATCAAATCATCTGCTGCCTTTAACCCTCTCTGCTCTGCAGAGAGTCCTTGCTCTGCAAAAGTCATAATGTTAAGGCTATAAACAGCAAGCAATTTGACCTTACTTATATGTCAAGGTACCAACAACCAAGTTCAGCTAAGGCTTCTTTTTTTTTTTTTTCCTTTTTGTCTTTTTTACTGACCAGCAACGGGATCGCAACCCTCAGTGTCGCGCCCGCACCGCGCTCAGCCAGCGAGCGGGAACTGGTCTCCACATGGGATCCAAACCCTCGGCGGGAGCGCTGCCACACTCCCAAGCGGCGCACTCTCCAGTGCGCCACCGGGCCGGCCCTGAGGCTTCTTTTTGAAGAAATTAAAAGTTATATATTCTTTAGCATGGGTAAATTCTAAGATGAAAAGTAGAAAATCATAGACATCTAAATGGATCTAATGCATTTATTAATGATTATTTATTAATGAAATGTTACTTATATGATGGAGAATTTCTTAATTGTGGTTAGGGGTTCTTGTGTTGATTCATAAAAATGATTATAATGTAGTGTAAAAATGATAATTTAATACTCATATCCTGGGACTATCTGTAAGAACTTAAAATCAATTATACGAACATAGTTTTGGCAACGTTTAGCAAATCAAAGTGAGATTGTTTTCACTATACATCAGAATTATTATCAGGATCCAGATAGTAGGCACTAAAATGAGTGGTTGGTTAGGAGCATTTTTCCTTAACCTTATACATAGATGAGGAAGCCATCAATTTATCAGGATAATTCTACTCAAATTTCTTAAATTTTTTTCCTTCTTGTCTCAGCTTAGCATGCAAAATGTAAAGAATTCCACATTTACACGGGATTGGTTTCCTACTCATGCACATATTGCAGAATGCCATGACACATCAGTAGTTGCTCCAATGTCATGACTATGATGACACCACTATGATGCTACCCTATGATGCACCATAAAATGTCCAAAATGATTAGTCCTAATGTGAAGTAGATACAAAGTTCATGGCTTTGAAGTATGGAAGGAGATTACTTCACTTGCTCTCTAAGTAGCTCCATTTGTGAGTCATGTAGTTCTTCAGTGTGATTAGTATAGTGTAACTATCATAATGTCAAGGTTAATAATGATAGTAACCATTTATTGAGCACTCACCATGGGCTAAGATCTGTGCTACTTGTTTTTGTATCTTATCTCATTTGATCTGCTTAAGAGCAGATAGATATCTTTATTTCTGTTTTCAGATGAGGAATCTGAGTCAAATATTAAGTAACTTAATATGTGGTGGAATTTGTATATGAAAACCCAAATTGATCTGAATCTAAAGCTCATGCTATGCACTAAGCCATTCTTCTCCTGTGATCTAGGTTATATACTACATCAATGTAAATTATCACTCTAAATTTCCAACTAGCAGATAACTAAGTAATTTCCAGTGTGAGGAGCCCACTTTCATATCAAACAGAAAGTGAAACATTTCTGATGACAGATATGCACAAATTTCATTCACTTCAATAAGAAGAAAGAGTAAGAAAATGGGAAGAACAGGGCTTAACAAAAATGAAACCTGTGAGAGCGGAAAGGTGTTAACAGTGTAGACCAACTGCCTGAACTCCAAACAAAATTTCCACCACTATCTTTTTTTTTTGGTGTCCTAGCATGTCTGAAATGTCTTTATTTGGTATAGAATTCTAGGTACGAAATTGTTTTCCTTTGGAAATTTGAAGGCAATTGTTCCACCACCTTCCAGTGTTGGTAATGCCACCCTGCCAACAATGACTCCTGATCCTTTGTTGATAGCATGTCTTTTTGCTCTGGGAGCTTTTAGAATCTTCTCTTTATCTTTGACATTGTGAAATTTCAAGAGGATATACAACTGTGGATCTTTGCTCATTCCCCCAGCCCAGTTCTCAGTGAGTGCTTCCTTTTGAAGGTCTGTATGTTAGTTCATCTCTGGGGAGTTTTCTTCTGTTATTCCTTTGATAATTTCATCCTCTCAGATTTCCTTGTTTTCTCTTTTTGAGTTGACTATTAGATGGATATTGGTATCCCTAGACTGATTATCTTCATTTCTCAGTTTTCCTCTCACCTTTTCCATCTCTTTCCCTTTTAATCTATCTTATGGGATATACTTCCTTGACTTTTTCTTTGGCTCTCTCTATTGAATAACCATCTTTTGAAAACTGTGGGCAAGTCTCTGAATCTCTCTGAATCACAATTACCTCATCCACCAAAAAAGGTGAGAGTGCAAGCCCCTACTTTACCCTGGAATGGGCAATGACACTTTCCTAGCCTTATTTCCTACATTTGGTCAGACCCTTCTTTCCAAATAAACTTTGTGCTGGGAAGGCCTTTGAGGCAACCTCTCTGATTTTCCACAAAGTTTTGCATAATACACACAGGCAAAATTCAACTGCATACTTGTTTCCCATGGCACTTTGAACCTTTCTTATTATCTGATATATTAGAATTACTTATCTATGTACATGGTCCAACACCACTGAGCTTCTGGAGAACTGGGAGCTGGTCATTATTTAATCTCCCTCTTTATTGTCCCCCCTTAAAAAAAAAAAAACCAAAAAACAAAACAGGCGGCTTACATAAAATACACTCTCCACAAACATGAAATAGAAGGCATGATCCATGACTCTATTTCATCTTAATAAATGTATTATTATTATTAATTATTTAGACTACTCACTGTGATATACCATTAAAAAGTAAGCTTTTAAAAAAATTCCCAGAATTGGGACAGATGCATTGTGACCCACATTCTTAAAAAAGGCTGTTTTATTGGAACAACTAGGGAAGAGATGATATGCATCTCCAGGACAAGGAAACTGAGAGAACAATGCTTTTTTCTCTTCCTTACGTCAAGAAAACTCCAGTTCTGCAGTTGCCACTACATCAAAGTTAGTCAAATTAAGCAGCTCCCTTCCTCCTCTTCGTTTTATCTGTTTGTCATGATAAATGTCTTACTGGGTTCTAAATGGGTCCTCAAAGGTGACCTTTTTACCTCGGGGCTTGAGAGGCACAGGCTCGCGCACTGAGAAAAATGCCAGTATGCCACCAGGAGAGATGACTCTTTTAGGCTAAATATCGTTCTCCCAAGAAACCCTCTTCAAAGAAATCCTAAATTCCTTTATCTGAGTGGAAAGAGGCAGATTTCAGGGTCAGATGAACTTGAATTCAACTCCACCTGACTCCTGCCCTAATCAGCGGTGTAAATTCCTCCTCCGCTTTTCAAAGCTGCCCTCCATCCTTCTGTAAAATGGGGAGACGATACCTACGCAGCAAGGTTATTGAGTAAAATTTTAAGCGCATTGTCTGGCAATATAAGGGGTCAATAATTATTAATTTTGATGATGGCCCTGGACGACCTAAAGAAACGGAACGGTCGGTGGTTTGAAATTCTGGCCACTTCACAGCAGTGGGTGGGCCAGGGCCACTCGCTGAAAGAGGCCAAGCCCCTCATGAGGAGGCGCGCTCTGTCATCCTCTCACGAACCTCGCTTACCTTTGTGAAAGACATCAGGCTGTCATGGCTAAATCACTCTCGGTCTTAAAGTATTTTTACATCTGATTAAACAGAACTTTTCTGTTTAATCCCCGCCCGCTGTAATGTTACGATCAACCAAAGCATATACCAAGTTTTTCTGAGAGTTTGAAACTTGGCGACTTTTGAATGGCAGGTACCGGCTCTCAAACCCCACTCCCGCTCTCGAATACCGACCGAGTAGCTGTTCCTCCTGGGAGCTAGAGGTTTCGTTTCCGCTTCCTCGCCGGCTGTCTACGCACGCTCGAGGGAGGTGCGGCCCGCCGGCCGCTTGTGCTTTTGGGGGGCGCCCCGCCTCCACCCGCGGCGTGACGTCACGGGCCGTGCTCCCGCCCCGCCCGCGCCTATAAAGCGGCAGGTGCGCGCCCGCCTATGGAATGTTCGCACACCTTGGTGCCGGCGCCCGGGTGGCACCCGAGAGGTCCTGAGGCGAGCCCGAGGCGCTGCTGCATCCACGCCCGGAGCCTGGCCGGCCTTGGAAAACAGCTACCTTCTTCCCTGTCTGCTCCGCCACCCTCCTTCGGCCGGCAGCTCCCCACCGAGTTGCCCCAGAGACCGAGACGCCGCCGCCCCGAGGGACCAATGAGAGCCCCGATGCTGCGGTCGGCGGCGCCGGTGGTGCTGTCACTTTTGATCCTCGGCTCAGGTGAGGACCTGCCGGCTCCAAACTGCCAGGCGCTTTTCCCACGGCGGGTAGAAGCTGTCGCCTCTTGAATTCTGCGGCTGCTTCTCCAAAAACACGCCCCTTTGGCGCTCCCATCTCTGTCCTGCCGCAGGTGAATCCTGTACCTCTCCCCGCTAAGGTGATTCCCCAGGAGGAAGAGAGAAGCGGGCAGGTGTCTCGGAAGTCCTGGCCAGGACGAGGGTGCGGGACAGAATCCCTGTACTTTAGTTCAGCTGAAGGAGACCTTGGAGATCATTTGATCCTAACCCTTAGTTTTACAGTTATTCTTTTTAAAATGTGAGCATGTGTTAAGAAAATCTGATATTTATATCCAGGACATATTAAAATGGGACAGGGTAGGATTCTAGCAAACATAAATGTATTTGGAATATGAAGTGATGGGGATATTTAGACACTATCAGTTGAATAATTATATTAGGATAATTTGCCTATTTGGCAGTTTTGGGGGGTTTGTTTGTTTTTGGTTTGTAACTTGGAAGATTTAATGAAGGTAGTTTTTGTTTGTTTGTTTGATGTGGAAATTAATGTAAACTACCTGGAAAAGAACCTTGATAGAAAAAACTCTGTAATGGGAACGGCTGAGCTTGCTTGTTGGCAGAATGTGAAGTTGCTTTCTTGAGTGACTCAGTCATAAACAATAGCACATGTGCAATAACTGCTTTGATATCAGAAGATAAACATTTCTGCCTAACACAGCTGACTGGCAAGAAAGGCTCCCTGCTTTACCTTTTCTTTTCTGCCCTTGTTCTTTCTTTTCCAGGCCATTATGCTGCTGCACTGGACCTCAATGACACCTACTCTGGGAAAGAGGAACCATTTTCTGAGGGCCATAGTTCTGATGGATTTGGGGTTACCTTGAGAAGTGGGATGTCCTCAGGAAGCGAGACTTCCCCTGTGAGTGAAATGACTTCTGGTAGTGCACTGTCCTCAGGGACCGACTATGACTATTCAGAAGAGTATGATAATGAACCACAAATATCTGGCTATATCGTAGATGATTCAGTCAGAGGTGAGTAGAGGATAAAGTGAAAATGTAGACTATGAGGTGTGGGTTTAGAAGAGCAAAGTTGCTTCAGAGGAAAGGCCGCTCCCCAAATTTTCAAGTGGGAGTGCTAACACATGTTTTCTGTCTATTAAATCTTATCTTCATAGCAACTTAAGTAGGAATTGTTGTTCTCATTTTACAGTTGTGTAACTGAAGCTCAAAAAGGGGGATTGTTTTGCCCAAGGTTACACAGGTAGCAAGCAGATGAGCCACAATTGCAACTCCAATCTGATTGATTCCAGATACTGTGCTCTTTCCCGTTGTGCCACATGACCGCATCTGAGAGACAGACGTAGACATTAACCATTACTATCTTCTTTGTGTCTTAGCTTTTATATCTCCTCCCTCCACATCACCCTGCCCCAAATAACTGCATTTTAACACAAACAAGAGAACAGAAGGAAGTAATGGGGCAGGAGGAATTGGACTTTAGCCTTTAAGTACTAGGTGTTGAGAAACTGGTGATGATGATGATGATGATAATAATAATAATGCCCTCTGGAAATATTAAAGAAGGACAAATATGCATAGATTTTATTTGCTAAAATCTTTATTTAACCCCAAATCCCATTTGTTGGTTAAATAATAGTGAGCCATGGTTTCTTTTGTTTTTGCTATCTGATCTTTAAAAAAGACCTTTTGCTTAAAATGAGGGTACCAAAGTAGGAGATAAATATAGTTCATTACCCTCATGTTACTTTAGAGTTTGAGGGAAGAAGAGGTCATCAATAAATCAGATCTAAATATCCCAGGAGCATCCATTATGGAGGCAGAACAAGATGGTTTAAGAGTTCTTTAAGGCCTCTTTTTTCCTGACCTGAGTTTCCTCCCCCTCTGTCTGGCTCCCAGAACTGGTGAAGATAGTGGTCCTTCAAGAACTGGGGTGAGTGGCAGGTGGGAAAAGCTTTAGTGGACACTTTACTCCCTTTCTTCTGAACTTGTGCTTTTATGTGAAGTGGGGAAAGGGTTTGTTTGTAATTCCTAGTTTTGGAGGGATAAGATTAGATCATCAAGGTGTCTACAAACTGTTCTCTCAAAGATCTTTCAAGTTGTTAACACTTCAGAAGGCCAAATAGTTAGTGGTGCAAATGGCTTGTGCTCAAAATTGCAATGCATTGTGAAATAGAGTGAAAACATTGGTTGAACTCCTTTGAAAGGCTATTAAGTTAAATGTCTGTGGGGTTAATGTCTATTGCAACACTTTAGCGTAGTGACTATTATTGTCTCTGTTTATAACTTTTAATCTATCTGACAAAGTACAGTAATATTTATTTAAAATATTTCTCTTAGAGGACCTTTTCTAACTTGTGTTTTTTTATCAGAGGAAAGTTTCAGTATAAAAATTGCATAACCACCTATTAAACATTGGTCCTAATTTGACTTTTGTTAATTATTATTAACTATTTTGTTAATTATTGTAATAACCTGCTAAAATATAATATTTATTTGTCATTTCTTTAATCACAGGGGTTCTATTTTTGATATCCTTTTTAACCTTCACTATGTTTGTAATGTTTTCTGTTTAATGGGTGTTACATGACTGTTATAACTAATAGTGTCTTCTCTTTTCATTGGATTCTGCTTGCTAATACTTGTTCAGATAAACCTATTGAGGGATTAGTGTTATTAAATGCACAGCACAAAGATAGAAAGCCCCTTCTTATCTTTAACATGAGGGCGAACTACACCTTGCATAACTGTAAGACTGAACAAAAGTTTCTATGGATCTGATGAGTTAAGACAAACCTCTGAAGCATTAACTACAAGTATTCCTGGACCCCTGTTTTCAAATAGATTAGCTACAGAAATAAGCCCCCTGGAAGGTATCAATTAATTATAATCTGTTGTAACCTGTGAGTTAGAGAAAATTAACTCTAACATGTAATTTTCAGTTTTTTTCTACCCTCAAATAGTGCTACTAATTCCCAACTATGATGGTGAGCACAAAGCCAATAAATAAAATCAACAAGTATACCCCAAGTCCCGTTTTAAGTACCATTTTAGTCAATAACATTGGTATTTTCCAAGAGAAAACATAGTATAGTGGAAAAATAACAGGTTTTAACATTCCAACACTGCCATTTGCTAGCTGATTGTCCTTGGGCAGCTTACCTGTCTGTCTTCCCTGAACTTAGTTTCCTCATCCATATCATGTGGATAACAATACATACAACTGTGATTTGGGTTTAATTAAATTAATGCTCATTTCCAAGAACTTGGTATGTATTAAAAATTCAAGAAATGTTTAAAATATTTAATGGATTTTCTTATACACATAATTCCTATTACCGATAATAATAATAATACAAATCAATTCAAAATATGTGTTAAAGGTTTTCAGGTTTTTAAGTGCACACAGCACAGATATTCTCTTTGCCCATTTATTGTGTGTATATTGTTTTAGTTAATGAGACAAACACGGCCATTATCCTCATGAGCTCCCAATGCTATGACTTCTTTCTCTTATGTCTCCAAATGATATCCAAGATTAAGAGAGACTGTTGTCAGTAAATCTTATTTTGTTTTTTTAGTTGAACAGGTAGTTAAACCCATGAAAAACAAAACAGAAAGTGAAAAGACTTCAGATAAGCCCAAAAGAAAAAAAAAGGGAGGCAAAAATGGAACTACTAGAAGAAACAGAAAGAAGAAAAATCCATGTGATGCAGAATTCCAAAATTTCTGTATACATGGAGAATGCAAATATATAGAGCACCTGAAAGTAGTAACTTGCAAGTAAGTTTTCCTAAATTATGTGGAATTCTGTATTTCTAACACTGTGTCTGAAACCCTGCTTGTAGAAACCATTTATTTTCCCAGTGTATAAACCAGAGGTCAGCAAACATTTTCTTTTTAATTTTTTTTTATTTTTATTTTTTTAAATTTTTTTGTCTTTTTCCGTGTCCGGCAACGGATCGCAACCCTCAGTGTCGCCCCCGTACCGGACCGGGACCGGCAACGGGATCGCAACCCTCGGTGTTGCCCCTGCGCCTCGCTCAGCCAGTGAGCAGGAACCGGTCTGTATGTGGGATCCGAACCCTCGGTGGGAGCGCCTCCGCGCTTCCCAAGTGGCGCATTAGCGCAGTGCGCCACCGGGCCGGCCCAGCAAACATTTTCTTAAAGAATCAGATAGTAAATATTTTAGGCTTCATATGCATATAGTTATATAACCAATCAAAATGTAAAAAAAAAAAAAAAAAAAAAAACCCACTCAGTTTTCAGGCTGTTAAAAGCCTTACAAATGGCCAGATTTGGGCTGTGGGCTGTAGTTTGCTGACCACTAGTATAAGCTATCATTTTATAATATATATTTTTAAAAAACCTCTTTTTTAAAAAAGGACCCAAAGGTATTTTTCATATGATCTTTCATGTTGTTCTAATCTCCTTCCCCCCAAAAGCTGCTAGCACATTAAATGATAGTGGCACGTATTAACTATATAATGAGCCACTGAACTCATCAGTTGGTCATAAAGGACTATAAAGAATGACAAGGTGTGTCTTCTTGGAATATCACACCCAAACTAATCTCAACTTGTTCTTATATTAATAGATCTTTGGCTAGAATGCATTCTATATCTCATGATTTTGAAATGCAAATACATGGTTGAATATATTTTTTTTTAAATGTTGGAATTAAATGTCTGTTTATGACCTGGAAAGTAAGCTTAACATATACAGAATGTTTTAGTGATTATAATTTTTAAATATGGCTTGTTTGCAGATGTTATCACGATTACTTTGGTGAACGATGTGGGGAAAAGTCCATGAAGACTCACAGCATGGTTGACAGTGACTTGTCAAAAATCGCTTTAGCAGCCATAGCTGCCTTTGTCTCTGCTGTGAGCTTCACAGCTATAGCTGTTGTTATTACAGTCCAGTAAGTATGGCATGACTTAAAAATTCCTAATAAAATAATGGCAGGTTAATTTTTTTCAGTATTCTATCACACGCTACTATCATATTTTAGAAGAATTATTCTATCAGTGGCATGTGATCTTTGGTTTATATCCTTACACTTCATTGACAAAAATCACAGAATATGGTCAAAATTTTATTACTTTGGCCACCCTTAAAACTTAATATGTAAAGCCCTTTTTCAGAAGATCTAAAATTTTTTGAAATTAAAAATTGATGGTTTTCTTTCATGTCATATTTCTGCTTATGGTTACTTTCAAACCTCTGAAAGTGCTGGTATCTTCTGTGAATATCTTAAGCTTAAGCAAGCCTTCCAGAAGCTAATTAAGGCCTGGTACATAGATCAGATGTGCTGCTTTGGTACTAAAACTCACAAAGAACTTTAAGTCAGTAGCCAAGAAGAGGTACGTCTTCTGCTCATATTAGAATGCAAAAGTGTGAGTTAGGAATTTCATAGCATGGTACTAATTCACTTAGAGCTTATGCCTGTCTTGTTATTGCCAAATACAAAAGTATGGGAACTCAAATAATATAAAAACATTTCCACCCTATGACATGATGTAGAAAACAAGGACAATTCTGTCACTGTTTCCCTCCAGCAATATCTTCCCTCTGCTCATAATAACAGATCACACACTCCACTTCATGACCAATGAATGTCAGAACTAGACTGTTGCAGGTAGTAGGCACTGACAGGTTCTGATCAAAATGGCATTGTCTGTCAAACAGAAGTCACTAAGTAAGGGAAGGTGGGGGAGGGCATGAATGGCTCTATGATGACTCAGGTGCTACTAGAGCTTGGGAAAAGCAATGGACACATTATTCTAATTTTAGGTCTTGGTAAATTACTTTAGCAACTGGACTGTGTACAGGAGCTACCACTACTGCCATTCAGGAAACAAGGGGTTATCTTCTGCCATTGTTTACTATTATTTTAAATTCAGTTCAGATAGTGATAAAATGACACATTAAAAAACTGTTTTGTCATGCACATAAAGTTTGATGTGTGGTTTAAAATTGTTTTGCACACCCTAGAGTTTATTCTGGCCTTCTAGTACCTCAAGCCAGATATGCAAATGTGTTTAGGAAAGATACCCTCAGACAAACCATTATTATTTGACATAGAAGGATAGAAGAAAACAATTTCTAGTTAAGGAAAATGTTTTGCAATAATTAAACTTATAATTATTCAACTTGAAATATTTCATAATTTTCTGGAAAACTGTGAGAAGACTTTGTCGTGTCAGCACTGAAAATTAAGCAGCAACTTTTCTCCTTTTTGCCTATACTGTCCTTGCATTGGAAACATCTAACAAATGCTAAGGTGCAGTTTCTGGTTTTTTTCTTTTTTTTCTTTCATAATTGAGGTGAGTTTTCTTCAAAAATCACAACAAAAGAAAAGTTCTTATGATTTAATGATAATATTTAGTAGATGGATTAAAGTTCTATTAAAAATAGAATTGCTTATACAACACCAAGAAATTTTTAAACCACTGAATTTTAAAAATAGAAACTAGCAACAAATGAAACTATAAGAAAATATGTGTACTTAAAAATAAAGCCCAACTTGTTTTGGAAGACTGTTTTAAAAAATTCTTATCATTTAAATTAGATTATGCTAGCATAAAGTCTTTTTATGGTAAAACTATACTATTGTCTTCCCCTCTAGTTGTACACAGCAGCTGTGCAAAGTTCTGCAGAAAAAACACATGGATGTGTTCCATGCCTTCTGAAAGTTTGCATCTCAATACACATTTATTTAAATTTCAGTCCCCTGGAAATGTGTTTATATAAAGTCAACATAAATGCCCCCTTAATAAAAAATATTGGTACTATTTTATAGCTGGGTTTAGGTTTTGGTTTAATGTCAAATACAATGCTTAGTGGTCTATAAGGACTCATGAAAAGGAGCTCTATATGCATGAAAATCCCTGTCAATGTATAGATGAATAAAACTTTGATAATGTAGAATGTCTTGTTCTCTAAAGGCTTCGAAAACGATACTTAAGAGAATATGAAGGAGAAGCTGAAGAACGAAAGAAACTTCGACAAGAAAATGGAAATGCACATGCCGTAGCATAACTGAAGATAATATTACAGGTTTGAGTTTTAAATGATATCTTTAGGTCATATCCTATATTTTGAAAAACATAACACTCTATCTCAGGAACAATGAGGAATGTGTTCTTCATTATGGATCCACTAAGAACAATGGCTATACTAAAATGCTGTTCTTTGAATATGAGATGGAGTTCGATATTGAGAATGAACTGCGTGCTTACTCAGTATTATAAGGGATATAAACATGAGACACCAATTCTGTTCCCAAAGAACTTAATGTTTACCAGATAGGAAAAAAATATGTAAGGATCCAGAATACTAGGGGAAATAAAGTAAGTGTCATAAGAAAGGAACCCATGGAGTATGAGGAGTTTCCAGTGAAAGGTAGAATCTGGTGAGATGCATTTAGGGAGCAGGAACGAATGTGTATTCAGGATGGCATTGGAAGTGAGCCTTAGAGGACTGATGAGATTGAGACAAGCAATTATGTAGGGAAAGGAAGGCTGATACTGAGAGATGGAATAGATCATTTTAACAACTTGTGAAAAACAGCCTAGTTCAAAGGAGTGTTTGGGGAGATAAGGTCATAATGACAGGTTGAGCTCACATGGTGGAGAGCCGAAGTTAGGATGCTCACACTAAAAACAGGAGGAAGTGGAGACAGTAGGTTGAATATTCTTTTAAAGAAAGGAAGTAGAAAGGGAGGGAGGGCACAAAGTTGAGAGAAAGCTTGGTAAAAATATCTATATTTATTTTTTATAAAGAGGGAGAGCTGAGCATATTGTAGGTAGAAGGTAAGGTGTGGAGAGATATTTTATTGATAATAAAAGTGAGCGGCTAATAAAGAAAACTCCCACTGGAAGAGGGAGGCAAGGAGATCAAATACACATTTAAAGTCAGTCAGGGGAAGAAACTTCTTTACTGAGACATTCAGGAAATATGATGTCATATACATAAGTCATCGCTTTCCTAACTTCAATGGGTTTAAGAGTAACTTAAGATGCTTGGTAAATATGTATATTCCTAAGCTGAACCCTAAATCTCTTGAACCAGAATTTCCATTTTTAATGTGTAGTCCAGATGGTTCTAATGCTTGGAGAACCACTACATTTAGCACTGGTCTAGTAAAGATATTATGTTCTTAGCCTATTACAGAATCAGCTCAGTAAGTCATGAAATGGATAATTATCCATATCAATGCTGTACTCAGCATTTATTGCATCAAAATTTATTAATGTATTGGCTTAATGTGCTGAAGCAAAGACCACCGACATGACTATGGGTGGATTTGGGGTTATTTAGTGCATTGAGATTTCTCAGTGTAGGTCTCAGAATGATTTTAGGAAAAGGAATATGCTGTGCTGGCACATGATGGCTGTCCATTAACTGGTAGCTACTATTATTATGCTGTGGTACTAATTATCCTAAATTAACTGTATATCATAAATACACTGAGCCACTTAATTCTTGTTTTTAATTATGTCCACTGCATAGATTTCGTTAGGAAAACTATTTCTCATGATTGTTGCTGCTTTTTTATTAAGCAGAATTTGATGCCACAGGTTTGAGCATATGCCATTTTCTAAGTAGGCACATAAACAAAGCAAATGAGAAAGAGGAATTCAAGCCAAAGTGATAGTTGGTTTCCGAAAAACTCTTAGCATTTCTCATAAGACATTCTAGGAAAAGAAAAACTGACAAATTCTGATTCATGATTATTATTTGAAATTTTCTGAAAACTATGTTGGAATTGAACTTATCGCTAATGTTTTATTTTCTCACAGGATATCAGATCGGAGTCACTGCCAAGTCACAACCATACATGATGAGTTCATCCTCTTTTCAGAGGATTAGAAGAAAATGGAACCTTTTGGTTCTGATGGTTTTAAACTTTCAATTGTCACTTTTTATGCTGTCTTATTTCTGTACATAAAGATGCATGGAGACAAAAGTATTTTTTCAAGTTGTAAATAATTTATTTAATATTTAATGGAAGTGTATTTATTTTACAGTTCATTAAACTTTTTTAATCAAACAAATTGAGAGTTTGAATGTTAGTTTTGAGATTGTAAGACTCCAGGGCAATTTTCTCCTAACACTTGATTATTTAAGAATAATTTCCTCCCCTTTTTTACTGTTTTTCTGTTGATTTTTTAAAACTTATTGCTTTTCTTAGAAAACACTCTTAATGGGAAAATTATAAACTAGAGTCACTTAGTCCTCCCACAAACACTAACAATGCTTATAATAATAATCCAAAACAGGCCTTTTTTATTCCATGTGGAACTTATACCAAGTTCTGTTAAGTATAAAAGAATCTAGACTCAAGGTGTGGCACTCTCTGTTACAGTAGACATGTAGTATAAAAGAAAGTAAACCCACTGTCCATCGCTGTGATCACCATAGACAAAGAGACGAGAATAAGTTTGAAAATTACAAAAGTGGAGTTTCAAGAGAACCAGGATTTACATCTGAGACTTCTTTCCCTAATGTTATGACATGAATGTATGAAGCATCAAAAACCCACTCTTTCCTCCCCTTGCTACTGTTTTTTTTTAAATAGTCTTTTAAATAAATATATGTGTGTATTTGTGGCAGATGCTCCTTCAAGAACATTAAGGTTATGGGGGTCACCCACAGACTGGTGCCTGGCTGATCAACATAGTGCAAAATGAAACAACCTTTGTAGCATATGGGGAAATATTTTGAGAAAAGTAATAAGCATAACACCAGCAGTCATCTCAGAGAACTTCATGAATGAAAGGTGCCTTACACATCAGCACTTTCATCTGTCTCTGGCATACCACTTACCATGTCCTTCCCCAGTGATCCTCTAACCAACTGGCTCCCATGCTCAGCTGCACATAATCATCACTTGAGGGATCTTAAATGTCTAAGTACCCAGCCTCCCTTCCCAGAGCTTCTGATTTCAATGGGCTGAAGTGAGGTGTTGCCATCTGTAATTTTCAAAAGATCCCTAGATGTTTCCTGTATGCAGCCAGTGTTGAGAACCTCTGGTTAAACTCTGCTTGAACGTCTTCAGCACACACATTCTGCAGCTTTGTCACTGAATATTTATTGCAGATGATTCAAATATAGAGCTAGGGATACAAGACAGAAAAGCCTGGACAGTATAGCAAATAACTGGCCAACGTGTGCATGCTCCAGGGATCTGTGAGCGCCCAGGAAGCTCTCACCTAGCCTGGCCTGAGTGAATTAGGGAGTGCTTCCTGTAGAGAGACTACTCGAGATTGTACTTGAAGAGTTAATGTGGGTTATGGAAAGAAGATTGTTATAGGCATAAGCAAAATTACAGTGTCACCAAACAATATGACCGGAAAGGGAAAATACAGAAAATAGTTCAGTATTATTGAAACAAGCGTGAGGTCAAAAGAGGCTATAAGGAAGCTGGGGTGTAAGGGCGGGGTCACCCAGGGCCTTTACTATAGGCCAAGGGAAGCAATTCCAGCCACTTGATCAGAAGTAGAAACTTGATCAGATTTGTATTCCAGGTAAGTCATCATCAGGCCACTGTGTGGGGGAAGGTCTTGAGCCAAGTCAAAAGCTCAAAAGATTAGCTTGGAAGCAGCTGAAATACTCCAGGCAAAAAAGAAAACACATGAAGCTGGGAAGAGAAACTCGACATGGACTTCCAGTTTTAATTACAGATTAAAAACACACAAAGTGATTTATTATAAAAACAAGGATGAGAGTAATGAGATAGAGAAGAAATCTAGGATGACCCTCAGGTTCTGGGCTTCAGTGGCTAGGTGGCTGATGACATCATGGTTTAAAGTAGGGAATTCCTTGAACTGGCTTGTTGAATATTTTAGAAGAGAAGCATGGCTTTTCATTTATCCTTGACTGAAGAATGCCTCTTCTCTATTTTGTAAAGTTGTCTTTTATAAATCGTAACAGATTTATGAGGAAATAAGTACCAGCCTGGCTAGTTAGTCAACTGAATCATCCCTGTCCTCACCTCACATGCAAGTATGACGAGTTCTGCTCTGGATCTGCTGCGCTTGAGGTGTTGGGAGGTATCCAATAAGCAGAGGTACAAGTCTGAAGTTCAGGGAGGGAAAAATTATAGATTGAGAGCTATTAAAATATATTTGGTAACCGAAGCTACAAAAGTGCCCAAGATTACTAAAGAAGGCTATCATGAGTCAGAAAAATATGTTTGTATTAGGACATCTTCTCAGTAGTCACCAAACATTTGGTGGTGACTACTATAGCCACTGTAAAGATTCTAGGCACTTGCCTGCTGCTATTCCACGTACCTTTCTAGCCCTTAAAAGATTATGGAATTATTACAATGGAATAGAAGGAAAAAACTACTACATTTATTATAATAATCATCATCACTGTCTCAAGTTTATTGAGTTCTTTGATATCTCATGGACTCTTCTAAGTGCTTTACACCTAACTCATCTAATCCGCACACTTCCTTAGAAGGTAGATACGTTTTATAGATACGTAAAGCAAAGCTCAGAGAGATTAATTAACTTGTCCATGATCACACAGCTAGTAAATGACAGTGTCAGGCTGTCTGGCTACAGAGCCGATACACTTAAACTTCCTTCTCTGTTGCATTTCTATGTGCATACCAGTTAGTGTGGTTTTAACTGCCACTCACTAATAAGATACTTTAATATCTGGTTTATATCTTTGAGACTCAAATAAGATAACACTTTTTTTAACTACCTGTTCTGCCTCCACAAAATTTCCCAATCTATACCCTACTTTATCATCTCTTAAAATATGTCCCATGCCTAATTCATGACATGCACACACTGAGTTATAAACAGAGATGAGAACATATCAGCCAAATAAATCTTGGAGAGACACAATTAAAGCTGGATGCTACTCTTTAGCCAAAATAGTGACTCCACGTTCTGAAAAGGCTTTTAATTAATTAGATAGCATCTATGTATATGTGTTTTGCTTAAGAGAAAGGTAATTTATGAAGTGCTGGTTAGATTAGGTTGGAATATCAGCATTCTTTCTTGTAGACAAACCGACTAATTATAGGAGTTGATAAAAGACATTTCGTTTTCCCTTTTTTTTCCATTCATAATCTTAGAAGCTAAAAATGTAGAGTCAAATTTAATTCCAGATTGCCTTCTGGCAGGTTAAATAAGGAACATGTAGCAACAACTCTCGTCTCCTCCCTGGGCATCTCCAGCACTGTGGCACCTTGTGGGAGGAGCGTCATATCACAGCCAGGTCATTAAGAGCTCCTCACTTTAGGACTTTATCTCAGGGAACAACTGATATTTGTTTTCTATATTTGCCTGTGTTACGTCTGAAGCTTTGGAGCTTATTCTGTATATGGAAAATCTACTTTGTAGCTCAAGAATCATCAAATTCTGTCTGGCTTATTTCACCTTAACTATCTCCTCTTCCAGGATACTTTTCTCCCCTCCCCTATTTGCCCCCAGGCTAGGTAAAATTTCCCTATTACATACTCTTACAGCACTTATTAATATTTCAATTAAATATTTGCATAATTTCTTGTTTAATATCTTTTTCTACTGGCCTATAAGCTCCTAAGGACAGGGACTGAGTCTTTTTCACCAGTCAATAAATATGTGTTAATAGAAGAATGAATGATTAGAAATAATCATCATTTCTTCTAATAACTGTCGTTACTGCAGAAAGTATTTCACAATGGGAAAGAATTGTATGGGTTTGAAACACTCAAAAATGCTTTTACTCACTAGCAAAAAAACCTTGTATAGGTTATGGAATGATGATGATAACTTCTCAATGGACTTTATACCAATTTATTTAAGAGCGTGTAAAAATTATGCACGATTTTCAGTTAGTTTTCATGGGCCCCACTTGGCCGTTTTATTCGGGGGAAGTTTCTCGTATTTGAAATTGTCCGATATTAGACACTCCTTCCTTTTTTTTCTCCTTAATTTACATGATCAGTATCCTTTAAGTGTTAACTGCATGAAGAAGATTGTGCCAAATGAGTTGAATGTGAAGATAAATAGTCTGCCTCCTAAGAGCTAGAACATGTGAAAGGCATTTCAAGAGGAAATTCAACAGTCCCAATGAAGTACAGGCTTGGTAGGAATATGGTTACTAGGTAACAGTGGAGAAAGTGACCAATATTTAGCTTGAGAATATTATCCATTTATCCCCATATTTTTCTTTTTAATCTTTCCTATATTTTTAGTAATACACTTGATAACTTGCATACAGTTGGCACCCAAAATACATATGCAGACTAAGTTTTCATTTCCCCAGAAGCAGATTCTTGAGACTAGGATTTGAGATCATGTAGTTTATTTGGGAAGAGAGGCTAAAATGGAAGGAAATAATAAAGGATGTATTATCAAGCCAGTTTTCACTCTAGGCAACTAGAGCTTATCCTTCTAGGGAAACTCTGGGAGACAATATAGAACATACAGCTTAGAGTTAGCCCACACAAGGAGTAAGGGAAGTAGAGTTTTTATCCACAAATTTTCATCAATCGTTGGTTAAGAGCTGCTGCTAGGGCGGGGGAGATTAACTTGCTGGAAGTTCAGGCTTGCCCCATGCATAGGCAAAATGAACTGCAGTGGCAAGAGAAAGTCCTCAGGCACTAAGACTGCATAGTAGGTAGGACCAGTGTGCTTAGAAATAGTAATGGCCTGTTTTATAAATCTGGGTGCTCCAACATTGGGTGCATACATATTTATGACTGTTATGTCTTCTTGATGCATCAGTCCTTTTATCATTATGTAGTGACCCTCATTGTCTCTTTTTATGGTTTTTAGTTTAAAGTCTATTTTGTCTGATATGAGTATAGCTACTCCAGCTCGTTTATCTTTTCTGTTTGCTTGGAAGATCTTTTTCCATCCTTTCACTCTTAATCTATGTGAGTCTTTATGGGTGAGAGGATTCTCTTGTAGGCTGCTTATAGTTGGGTCGATCTTTCTTATCCAGTCAGCCAATCTGTGTCTTTTGATTAGTGAATTTAAACCCTTGACATTAAGGTTTGTTATTGAGAGTTGTTTCTTTATTCCTAGCATTTAATTATTTTTATG